TAAGAAGCGGAATTGCAATCAAACATAAACTCCAAAAGAAATACATATTCACTAATTTAGAAAGAACAATGGTCACATGATATGGATTGGTTTGAGGGAGGATTCCTCGATGTTTGATCACTTCTCTATGTTGCAACGTATAATCAGTTAAACATGAAAAATGATTAGACAATTTTTGAGGCATACACAGAAAAAGAGATTTTGATTTATATTATGGATAGAAAACTCATAGTAAGGCAAGATCATCCACTGCTGGTTATCACCACAGTTCCAGTCCCAGAGGACAACAGTGGTGCCATCATGTACACCTCCAGAATTTTTATCACCATGAAAAACGTCCATGTTGAGATGAATATTATTGACCATCCTTACAGCTAGGTAGCTGTTACCCTGGTCCTTGCTCTCAGTCCATAAAACAGACTGATCAAGATAGTCCGGATTGTAACGTGCTAGCCGAACCTAAGATTATGAAAACAGACGTGTAAGCAATAAATATGTGACACATGTTATTAAAAAGATCACATTGGCAAGTTATAAAAGTATGGAAGAAATAAAGAAAGAGATACTGTTATGCTTTTACTTTTGTATGAAAATGGTTAGGGATGGGAAAGTTGTCCTACCCCATTCAAAACACAAACATGCCATATGCTCTAGCAAGAGCTTATAATAATGATAATTAAAGATTAAAGATGACTTACCAAGCAAAGTCCTTTAAAAGGAATTGACCAAAAACTGATTTACTTTAACCTTGATTATTTTTAGTTAATTTAAATTTGAACATTCTTTCTTAAAACTTCGATGAAGTGGAAATAGCCAAACTAATACAGTAAAATGTTGTGTATGTAAGATTAAATGCACGTTTGGATTGATAGAGGCTACAAATACCAACTTCTTCTCAAAATCACGGTGAACTTAAACGTGCAGCAGCAGTGGCCCACCGTATTACCAAACATAGGCTAACAAAATCACGGTAGTACCTTGATTTTGTTGAAGCTTCTGTCAAGTTACAATGGCTCACCGTGATTCTACCAAAGTTAGCATCAATCCAAACATGCAGTAACAAACTGTACTTATCCCAATTCAAATAGTTTGATAATTCAAACAAGAAATTATTCGGCTTAAGGTCACGATGAATCACCCCATGCTTATGACAAAGTTGCACTACCTCCAAAATAGTCCTCGTAACCGCTGCAGCAACACACTCTATATAATGACCACGCACAACAATATGGTCAAAAAGCTCACCACCTTCACAAAGCTCCATAACAAGATAAACAACATTTTATATATCCTCACAAGCCTCCCAAAGAGTCACAATACTCAAACTCTTCGGCAAATGGCGCATAATAGCAACCTCCTGTCGCACATCATCAACATCAACAGCAGTCCTAAGCTTCCTCTTAATTGGATTGAATATTTAGACTATATGGAACAAAGGGTTATCTCTAGTAAAATTGGCATATTGTTTATGCATAATATGAAACAAAGATACGAAACTGTTAGTGTACTATTACACATCTATTTACATGACAAATTAGGTTAAGTACTATTTCTGCTAGCACGAGCAAAATCCAAGAACAAATGACCTTAATGTATTCTAAAAGCAGGAGTGAGCAAGACATTACTGCTAAACATATTTGAAATCTGACCATTCATTTCTTCTAATTTCTCTACTTTTACTGCCTTACATTTCAATATCTCCAGGTTTACTTTCATGTGTTTTTTCTCTTGAGAGAAGCTGTCATTTTTACCTTCATTATACAGAACTATTTGTGAACGGCTTTTTCGTGGACTCTCAGTTGCAAAGTTACTTGTTGGAATTTTAGTTTGTTGAGAAATAAGTGCCTGCATTACAACCATTGGAGGTATTATGGGGTTCTTGGCAAGATCTTTACTAGCTCCAAAGCTGAGTTTACTGTAGTTAAGACATTTGCACAATCTTGATCTTTCCTCAAATGGGACATTTGGATGAGACTGCAAAACATTATTTGTTCCAAACATGAGAATCTTTTGTACTATGTTATTTTAATTGTTAAATATGGTGCCGTAAACGGTAATGCAGATTTCAGAAATGCACGAAATCAATAGGAATAGGAAAATAAGTTATTTATGCATCTGCTATTTTTTTTCCCGATTTCTTATGATTCTTTAGGAGCATGATGCATATGAAAAGCAATGGAAAAAGGAAAGTGGAATTCTCACCTCAAGATAGATATCAATGGCTCTGTAGATCCCATCAAAGCAATCCCTTGCAGAGTCAGGCAAACATTCTGCAACTCCAAGAAATTTTGAGATCTTGAGATTCTGATCAGGTGATATCTCTCTCAAATACTTGTCAGTTAATCTACCAACCCTTTTCATTTTCTGTAAAGATATTCCATCATAGCCATTGGTATCAACAAATTGTCTAACTAATCTTATCACCAAGTTGACATCATAACAGATCCCCATATCTTGCCCTGAGACCAAAAGATCATCCAGTGTTGCTTGTTCGAGCATCCCACCAATCAATTTCTCTAGCTCAGTTCTACATCTTTTACGCAACCCGAATCTAGAAACAATCCTTAATACCCAAAAAAGTCCTCTGCAAGAGGAGTTTTTCTTACCGACAAATATGACTCCATAAGCAGTTGTTTCTGCAAGAGCAGCATACTCGCTGCTGTTTCTGTAATCGGCGTTTCTGGTTTGAGTAGCTGTTTTCAGATATTGCAACAGAAATCTTGTAAAGATTAAACTGTCGTTATCATCTTTGTATGATTCGATGCACTGAAAAAGTTTCTCAATTATCTTTGGTGCTAATGTTTCCAAATCTTCAAACAACCATGCTCTGCTTGTCAAACTCACGAGTGGCGGTTCTTTTTAGGTTATCTCCTGTAGCATCGAGAGATTCGTGAGCCTGATTGAGCAAATTGTTGTGGATTCCGATTCTGTCTTCACTGATACATCCATGAAGGGGTTTTGTGACAGAATTTGAGAGAAAGAGAAGATCAGGAAATTGAAAGATGAAGGAATGATTAAAAAGGAATTGAAGGTCGAATTGAAGATGGTTGAGTTTAGGGTTTTGGGATCTTTCGAAAACCGTTTGCGAGAAGAAGAAGGTGGAGTCCACAAGTTTCACTCTGCTCGATAAACAGTTTCGATGAAGTTGTTTTTCTGAAAAAAAATTTCAATATTTTTGTAAAGCTTAAACATGTTTTTAATCTATAATTTATAATTTGTAATGTATTTATAATCTCCATAAAACATATATATATATATATATATATATATATATATATATATATATATATATATATATATATATATATATATATATATATATATATATATATATATATATATATATATATATATATATATATATATATATATATATATATATATATATATATATATATATATATATTAACATTGTTATTAAAATTAATTTTAATAAAAGTTAACTATTTATATAATAATTATAATAATTATTTATTAAATTAATTAATAAAATTGAAAAGGTTAGAAAAGAAAAAAGTGAAGAGTTAAAGGAATAAAAAAAATAGTAATTATGATTGGCTAAAATAATTGCGACAGTTCGCATTAACTGTCGCGAGTGTGGAAAGAGGGCGGTTCTTTGGTAACTGTCGCATTATTTTATACAACATGCCTAAAAAATTTGCGACGGTTGGCTCAAACCGTCGTGAGAACTGTCGTAGTCCAGGAATAAGGACGGTTTTTTGATAACTGTCGCAAAAAATCTACGACAGTTGACCCTAACTGTCGTGACAACCGTCGCAATCCAGGAATAAGGACGGTTTTGTGATAACTGCCGCAACTCAAGTGTCGTAAATCTCCTTTTTTCTTGTATTGTTTAGAAACCCTGTCGAACTAGAGTCATGATTGGATCCCTCATAAAACCAAACCAGATGGAAGTACAATCCATTCAAGAAGAAAGAATTTCAGGATTCTTTGTCTGAACATTTCATCCCATTAGGCTTAATGATCAGGGGGTTTGTGTACACCTTGAAATTCTTAAAATCGAGTATGCTTCTCAGATTTTGATATGGCCGATGTACGTCCCAGAGAGTTTATGAGGCCGAATAATTATTATGAGGTCGGACAGTGAGCTTCATACTCATCTCGGACTCAATTGACCGGGCTCTGAAGGAACGGACCAAGTTAAAACCATCAATTGACCAGTGAGTTTCTGGAATAATCAAGGGTCGGAATCTGTTACAGAACGATTAATAATCGGTTACATATCACTAATAGTTATTAAACCCATTAAAATCACACCCCTTCAATATCCAAGAAGAAGGGCAACGTTTGCATAAAAATAGACCTTAAGACCAAACATAGGGGAAGGCAAATGACCAATAAATAACATAAAAAAGAGAGAAACGCATGAAAATTTTAGACTACCAACAATGGTGACCAAGATTCCTTCCTAACATACCTCTTGCCAAAGTGGACAATTGTGACCTCTTAACTAACTTCAGAGAAGTTTCTCCAAATAATATTTAACAAGAACAATCATAATTATGATTATGTGAGCAAGACAACCTAATACTTTAGATTATATTTATTAAATTTATTAATTTTTTTAAATATATGAAAAAAAATTAAGAGTGTTTATAATGAAAGAGTGAGAGTTGGTAGATTATATGTACTTTCAATTTATTAATCAATTAGTCAACTTTATATTGTTATAAAGATTATCTCAAACCTTTTTTATCAAATTTTATTTCTTATAATCCATTGTAAAATTTATTTAAGATAATCTTTATACTTTCCGATATATATTTTTTTCATATTTATTATTTTTGTCTAAATATTATTATTTATTAATATTACTTTTCAGGTTGCTCGACCCGTGAGAAGAGACGGGTCTATTCTAGTCTGTTTGGAAACATTGAACACCGTCAACCATGCACACTTTTCAAAAATCTCATACTTTAGCCTTATAAAGTCTGTTTCATGTCCTCTTCTTCTTTCATTCCTCACCCAATCACTCTCAAATGGAAGAGACCTCACAAAGTGCATTTCTCTTTTCCTTATTCTTTGCATTCTTATCTATCCCCTTAATTTCCTCATACACTTTTGAATTCCAAACCCAGTCACTTCTACTCCATTCTCTCCCCCTCCCACCAACACTCTCATGGCCCGAATCCGAACTCACAGATTCCGACCCGGATATTTCCACCACCCTCTCTCTCCACCACATTGACGCTCTCTCCTTCAACAAAACTCCACAACAACTCTTCAACCTCAGACTCCAAAGAGACACTTCCAGAGTCAAAACATTTACCTCACTATTATCCTCATCTCTCAACCAAACCCGCCCCGAAGTATCCAGATCCGGTTCGAGTACAAGCAGCCCCGTTATATCGGGTTTCCCCCTCGGAAGCGGCGAGTACTTCACGCGCATAGGCGTTGGAACACCACCAAGATATGTTTACATGATTCTCGACACTGGAAGCGACGTCCTTTGGCTTCAATGTGCACCTTGTCAGAATTGCTACACACAAACTGACCCGGTTTTTGACCCGAAGAAATCCACTTCTTATGCCGGCATCCCCTGTTCGTCTCCTCTCTGCCGCCGGTTAGACTCGCGGGGATGTAACCCGAAGAAAATTTGCCAGTATGAAGTCTCCTACGGCGATGGTTCATTCACTGTCGGAGACTTCTCAACTGAAACTCTGACGTTTCAGAGAACCGGGGTCCCCGGCGTCGCCATCGGTTGTGGTCACGATAACGAGGGACTCTTCAATGGCTCCGCCGGTTTATTCGGTTTGGGCCGTGGCGGTTTTTCTTTTCCAACCCAAACCAGAAACCGGTTCAACAAAAAATTCTCTTATTGTTTTGTGGATCGGTTTGCTTCGAGTAAACCGTCTTCCGTTAATTTCGGCGACAAATCCGTTCCGCGAACTGCTTTATTCACACCTTTGATTCAAAACCCCAAATTACACTCTTTCTACTACGTTGAACTTCTTGGAATCAGCATTGGCGGCGCGCCGGTTCGAGGCGTCTCAGCTTCAATGTTTCGGCTTGATAAAACAGGAAACGGCGGCGTGATTATTGACTCTGGAACTTCAGTAACGCGGCTCACTAGTCCTGCTTACGTGGCACTTAGAAACGCGTTTCGAGTCGGAACTGGGTATTTGAAACGGGCACCCGAATTTGAACTTTTTGATACGTGTTATGATTTGGCCGGTTTTAAGGAGTTGAAAGTTCCAACGGTGGTGTTTCATTTTCGGGGTGCTGATATGGCGTTACCGCCGGGGAATTTATTGATTCCGGTGGATAGTAATAACAGAACTTTCTGTTTTGCTTTTGCTGGAACGGCGAATGGGTTGTCTATTATAGGGAATATTCAGCAACAGGGGTTTCAGGTTGTCTATGATTTGGCGGGTTCTCGGGTCGGATTTGCACCACATGGTTGCGCGTGATTGTCACTTGATTTGAGAATTTATTTTTCCCGGTTTATTTTAATTTATGAGTCTCCAATTACTGGTTACTTTTGATATTAAGTGAATTATTATCATTAGTTAGTGGACAATAATTCAATTTCCGCTCCCTAGCTGGTACTTCAAAGCCAAACAACAGCAAAGTTTGAAAAAGAAAATTAGAATCTTAAATCACTTCATAGAACTGAAATCTTTGTTTGGTATTTATTAAACTAACTTATATTTATTGAACTAACTATAAATGTTGAATCTCTTGTTTTAGATGTCTCAGAGTATGGTGAAACCTTAGACCATTGTTAGTTTTTGTACATCCTGAAATTGGCGGGTAAGGTGGGGGATAAGGGGGCGGATTTAGGTGAATTGGATTTGGTCCATCAACAAACATGGTGCCTTATAGGCTACCCTAGGGTCAAGTTGCCCTAAATACATCATATAGGTCGTTCTTGAGATACTTCTTTATGGATATTTATCACGCAATAACAACATGTCTAGACATATCTTTTAAATGCATGATGTTCGAATATTTGATTATTATGGCTCATCATAAAAGTTAATGTCAGATAAATTGTTAAGATTGAGGGATTCATGCTTAAATCGTGAAGGAAATTATTTTATTTAAAAATATTTCAAACACTCTCAAATATGTTTTAGAGTTGGAACGCAGGAATATCCAGAATAATCTAGTCTTATATCGAGTTTGGATTGATCAAAACGAGAGCAATAGTGAGCTTGGTCGAAAGCCGTCCGCCGGAGCGCTATAGGCGCCACGAGTAGCCTGATTGTTCTGATGTGTCGTGCATAAATGCTCAAGTGCCGCCTACAAGCCGCCACTAGCGCCTCTACGCCCACGCCCTCAGACCCAGTCCAGGAGCCGGAACCGGCGTCGACATCAGTAAGGGGTGTATGGAGGAGACAAGTGGCATAATGCTTAGAACCACCACATTTGTTCATGTGACACTCTATCCTCTTGTATCCTTTTGTTGAGTTAATGTTCTTAACTCTTTATAAAGACTTTGAATGTGAGTAAATCTTTCTACGTGAGACTATTTCCCTTGCATTTATTAGCATTTACTCCATTTCACTTTTCTTATCATTTTATAACACACATGGACATTGAAATAATGTTCATGAATTTATAACAATTAAATCGCATTCATGACTCTTGACTCACATTAGGCTAAAGAAATCAATATAAATAAGGACACAGTTCAAACATGAATGACATACTCAATTGAGTAGAAAAATTTCATGTTGTGCCTCTTTCTGACATGCTTCAGAAGAGTTATTCAACTAGTATTCTTAAAGTGAACAATTTTGAAACCTAAATTTCACACTTTGCCCCACCGTAAATTTTAAAAAATGAACACGTGACATGGTGAAAAGATTGATAAAACATCCTTAGACTTAATTTTAGCTATTATCTCTAGAAATTGGTACACTAAAAACAAAAAAAAAGTCCATGAAGACAAAAATATACATTTAATTGTCTTCATTCAAGATGCATACGAAAGTGCAAGCCAAATTCACAATAATGAAAGCAAAACACATAAGAACAAAAACCTAAGACCTTACATGAACAAGATAAATGGTCAAACAATGGGATAAACCTCTTGAAAATACGATTAAAGCCAATAATTATATGAATCTTACCGTTAATAGAACTTGAAACATGTGAAAAGTCATGTGCGATGAAAATAGTAAAGTTGTAATGGTTACAACATGAACTTATGATAGCTTTGATAACGTTGATTGGTGTGGTGAAACGTTGATGATCGTTCCTTCAAACGACACTAATGATGTTGTAATATTAAATTTTATCACGCAAGTGAGGAGTGAGTTAGATCTTGAAGTGAATATTAGAATAACTACTCAATTGCTATAGGCTATGCACTAAATAACTAAGCAATTGATTTAGTGAATATAATAGATTAAGTTGGATTTTTTATTGTAGAAAACTAATCTTGAGTATACATAGTTTAGCTAGCTTCTATTTTGTTGTAACAAATTAAACCTAAGTCGACATGATTGTAACTGGCTCACATTAGTTATAAGCCTTTATAAATACTACTTATATTCCAAATTATAAGTCACTTTGCAAAAAATATTCGTCCCAAATTATAAGTCACTTTAGAATTCCAATACAATATTAATGACTTTTCCCTAATATATCCTTTACCATTTATTACTCTTTCTTCTTCTTATTCCTTTAGTTTCGCTTTTCAATATAATTAATGAAGAGCAGTTTTGTAAAGTCATAGATCATTTCACTTTTTCATACAGTAATAATTATTGTTTCGGACTGACCTAATGGCTATGCATGGCCAAATCCACTTCTGCTTCCATAACAACCCAATAGCCTAAGCCCTGCCAGTTAAGGGGAAAGGGAACCATTCTCTCCTTTGCCCTTCTGCTGAGGAAGGCTGGCCAGCTGACCCCTAGAATCAGCTGCCCCTCTTCACATTTCTACCCATCACGCACGATTCCATCATCCAGAAACAATCACGACGCTCGTGCCCACGACCACGCCCCTGCCCGCGGCAACGGCTAGTTCCGAGCACCTCTACCCGTCCCAATGGCTAGTTTCTAGCAGTTACCTATTCTTTGGGAGCGAATATCTCGCCCCGAAAATAGGGACCAATGGCCAAGCGCTGTGGGCATTATAAAAACTATATCATTTGAGAGGGTTAGGTATTCTAAATCATCCTAAGACATACTCACTTTGTACTTGCCTTATCTTCTCCCGATTCTTACTTTAGCATCAGAGTGCCTTGCAGACACACCCCTTCCCCATCTTTGAAATCCAGCATCGCAGACGAAGTCTTTGGCCCACTTTAGGTTCTGATCAGATGGTTAGATCAGTGGCGCCGTCTGTGGGAAACTTTGTTCTTCTCGTCTTTCTTTCCTTGTAAATCTAAGACCAAAGCAGTTCTTTCAAGATTCTGATCATGGTCAGCCATGACAATGTCCATGATGCTCGCAACGCCATCCTCCCCATCAGTAAGACAGACGCTAGTGGAGCAACCCCTTTTCTTGGGAGCGACGCCCTTCAGCGGAGAGATGGAGTCACCGCATCTCGCTCCCCCGATCATGCTGACAATGTTGGGGTCCAGCCCTCCGACGACCATTAACCCATCCCAGTTCCGCCCAACGCCGATCCGGCCATGGCGACCTTACTCGAGGCCCTCAACAAAACAAACCTTCTGATCCTCCAACAGAACGTAAAAATTGGAGCCTTAGAAGAGTCCCGCTGATCAAGATCTCCTCCGCCGAGAAGAGAGCGCCAGAGATCTCGGAGTCTTTCCCCCAGATGAGTAAGAGACCGCTGGGTGCCAGCAAAGTCAGACTCACTGGCCATGAGAAAGTGCGACAATACCTCTCCCTAAAGCCAACATTCCTCAGGGGCCAAGAGAACTAGAAGGGATCTACGAGAAGAGTGTCAACATTCGCCTCCGCCCAGATCCAAGGGCTGAGCCCGAACTCCGTCTCCCCGCAGAGATTGCGAACCTCTCCCTAGATGCAGTACTCGCTCTCATTCGCGGTCTAGCAGCAGCAGCAACGAGCATCGAGGCCTGTTGTCCTAAGAAATCATGGCCATGCGCCTACCCAAAGGGCTGGAGAAACCCCCACCCTTGGGCACGTACGATGGCACTACAGATCCTGACGAGCACATCGAGAACATCGGTGCCCTGCTCGATTACTATGACGTTAGTGGCACTGTCAAATGCAGATTGTTCCCAACTACGCTGAGGAAGGGAGCCATGTCATGGTACAAGAGCCTCCCCTTCGAGTGCATCACATCTTGGAGGCAGTTGGGGAGGATGTTCTCTAGGAATTTCACAACCTCTCGTCGCCACCCAAAGACAGAAGCCTCCATTGAGGCCATAATTCAAGGGAAAGACGAACCTATTCGAGATTATATTGAAAGGTTCAATAAAGAAGATGTCTAGGTCTCCACGGCCAACGATATGAAGAAGTACTCGCTCGAACACAGACTCCGTCCCCGCACTGAATTTGCCAAGGCTGTTGGCATCGAAACCCCGCAACCCTGGATGCCCTCCTCCTCAAGGTTCAGGCATACATCCAGTATGAAGAAAGGGAAGCAGCCAACATCGCCCAGGACACTAGGCACCAGGAGAACTCCAGGTCCTCAAAGTACGACGAAGCATCGACATCTCGTCGGGGAGCCGAGAAAAGAAGAGAGGACCGCCCTCGGGAATCCCGAGATCATAAAGGGTTGTCTAGCCAGTTCCACGATTATGCTCCACTGACCGTCTCTCGTAAGAAGATTCTCACTGAGTGTGCAAACTCGGAGTTCTGGAAAGCAGGGGCCCGTTTCCTGAAACAAATATCAGCCAAGCCGAACACAGATAAGACAAAGTATTTCCGGTTCCACAAGAGCCACAGCCATATGACCGACGATTGCATCCATCAGAAGGATACAATTGAGATCTTGATCAGGGACGGGCACCTGAAACAATTCTCCAAGAAGAAGAACGCTCCTCGGCAGGACGGCTAAGAGTCAAAGAAGGTCAAAGAGGAGGTGCCTTCCTTGGGCGAGACCAGTCTTCAAGTCGCCATGAGCATCTCGCACCCGAAAGACTTCTACGTCCCCGAGGGGCTCAACATCCCTCCTTACTTCGCTGCACACAACACATGGGAAACCTTCCCCCTCTGTCATGGTTATCCCATGAGGGGGATTCAACAAGGTGGCCGTGGGATCCATCAAGAGAAGGTTCGAGCATCTCATCAACAAAAGCTTGAGCCGGAGTTCTACATTTGATAAGGTCTGGGGAGAGTCGGTCCCCATCACCTTCTACCGTAAAGAACTCCTCGGTGGAGCTCCCAACTCCAACATTCCTCTACTCGTAAGGGTGAAAATGGCCAACTTTGACGTTCGGCACATTCTGGTCGACCAAGGAAGCTCAGTTGACATCTTGTATTCCTAGCTATTCTCCACCCTTCAACTGGATGAGACACTGCGT